GTCATCCATCTGGAGCGATCGTGAATGGCGGCCTTTACACTTCTTGAGGCATGCAATCCCTCCTCCCACATCAACCAATGAGAAGGTATTCTGCATTTGTCATCAGATACTGAAGAAAGATTTAAGTACAATGGAATAGTGCGTCAGCTATTTTCAGATTTCACGATGCATATGATTCAGTTAGAAGAGAAGTACTGTACAGCATTGTAACTTGTTAAACATATGAAATTAGTTGGGATAATTAAAGTATTATTTAAATGGAGCTTATAGTTAATTCCAGATAGCTAAACATTTGTCTTATGGATTTCCTGTTTAGAACTGTCAGAAACAAGGAAATGCTTTAATCAATATTGTTTTTAAAATCTGCTTTCAATTTTTACATGTAGCCTGTGACAGAGCCAGCATCCGAAACTCTGTAAATATAAATAATCTCTTATTCAGACTATGGACAAAGTCAATGAAACATTCTTACGTAATGACAGATATTAAAGGGTTAAAGTTAGCTGATCTCTGAGTAACAAATTCTTCAGATATGCAATACAGTACCCGAGACAGAACCATAGTTTACAGAATGATGAAGTAAACTTCATAAAATCAACTCAATATCAAGTTTATAATTACTATAAACAAAATACTCACAGTATATGATACCGGATCCACTGCGAGTGTCAGATGAGAAGAGACAGGATCACTCCAAGTACACGTCTCTCCGTCTTTATCCGTTAAAATAACTTTTGTCTGTTTCGTAATTTTAGGAGCCATATCCTAAAATAAAAGAAATTCATGAATATCCACCCACTAATCAATTCTGATGCTGTAACGTGTATACAGAGGGTCAGACCGATTTTAATAGCCTCTCTGTCCAGTTGTGAACACACCTGAAAACTGGTATTCAATTCAAGACGATCCCGAACTTTGAATTAAAAATTCTTGGCTGTATTTTCCAGATAAGATTTTGAACTAACATTTATTCAAATCCTACAAAGTCTTCATCATCCTGGATTGTCATCTGGATCTGGTGTTTGTTTACACTACATCAGCTGTCGCAAATGATGTGTGATGTCAAGTTCATCCCGACAACAATGCAGTTATGATATGTATGGTCATGTTATTCCACCACACATTGTTTCATTATGATCTCTATGTTAATTCCATGAGTTTCAATTATAAATAATCATTGTGGGATTTGGTGCATGCCAGTTAACACAGATCAAGTAGTATTTAAGGATTTATGGTTAACATTTTACACTTCAGTGTAACACTACCACTAATTCTGAGGGACCTTCCTTAAGCTTCAAAAGGTTGTCAGTTACTTTGGAAGGAACTCACTAATTATATCCAAATACAATAGAGAATATATTTATAAACTCTGCCTTTATGAAAAAAAATTTTTAAACTTCAACAAAGCCCCATAACTAACTTTCTGAGACAAATCTACCTCAAAGAAATCTGGCTGTGGCTCCTCTGATTCTGACAAATGCCTTGTAGCTTGCTGTCGGTACAAGTCAATTTGTTGCTGGACTGCATTCTGAGATCGGTCTGTAATGACAGAGACTGGGCTCTCATCCCACATGTTCCAACTCTGGAGGTCTGATCCCTGAAATTAAAATTATCATAGAAGGAATTATATTCATCAGTATCTCTACAGACCCTTACGCTTCTAAATTGTACTGACCCCTTGTTTTAAATATGTAATACATCTAGATTAAAACGCTCATTACAGTAATGTTTGCTTTTGTCATTCATGTCTTGATTATGCTACACAAATAGACATTAACATTTAGATTCCAGGACATAATCTCACATCTTAATACAAAATTAAATTTAAAAGAAATGTGATACATACTGCTCTGTCTTCTACTGAATTGGCATTATTTGGCACAACACCCACATCTGTCAATGGTATTGGTTCACCAGACTGTCTTCGCCGACGTCGAAAACAACATAAGGCTCGCTTTACCACCCCCAGCAATAGAAGTACCAAAGCTTTCAAACGCTTAACTATAAAGGCAACTGCCATTGCCTGGAAATATTAGAATAACACTGAAACGTTCGATATCAAATAATCTACAAAACTGAGCATTTAACCTACTATGATAAATTATATAATATAATTGTAGACGTCAGATTAAGATATTATTCATCAAACTTACCAGTAATCTTTATAAATGGCAGTTTTGGATAACGCGTCAACACAAGAACATAAATAATGATCTCACATTATTGAGGAACGCAGACAGCAAGTTTTATAAAAAACAATACTGCAAATATAGGCAAATACGTCACCACTAACGCAGACTAACCAACAATATTAACACACCTGCCAATATCACGAAGACGGATAAGTAGACCGAACTAAAACACGATTTTACAGATAGTTTACTATTACCTTTGACCACAGTTTTTGGCCAAAGATTAACTTCAAGTTCCTGTATTCAGTGCTTGCACGTGAATTTGTGTGGTGATCGAGACTGGTCAGTAGACACCAGTGTTTGCTCTTTACTCCATTTCATATTGTCTCCAAAACACTGGCATCTACCAATAAGTCCACATGGCACTAAAATCCAGAAGAACATTTACAGTAACCACTAACGTATTCTGTTGTATCACAACCCACACATCCCAGTGAAACCACATTTCACACATCACACACTAGATCCACTGTTCCAATTGTCAGTCTTTAGGAAAAATATGCATTTTATATATTTTCGAAAGACGGTTCTCCCAGAGGCAATTGGGCTTTTGAGGTCTCTGACGCGACAAACGTGACTGAACTGTCTAAAGCACCATTATGTTCCCCTCTTTGTTCTGGAGCTACTTTTGGTTTCCTCTACAATTTATTTGCCTTTTAGTGGTTCACACGCGTTCTCTGCTCCTTCTCTACAGCCTGTGACAAATATCTTTGGGGGGCTGCGATGAGGACTGCTGAAGAAGCATTATGTCCTCGGTTTGAAGTTTCCTTCTGTTGATGAACAAGATGTCTTCAGTAGTCAGACATGATTCACTATACAAGCAATATACCAGAAGTAAAATAAACATCTTATCTGTCTTCGGTCATGTTTATAGAAATTACATCAGTTCCTGTAGCATAAAAATTATTATTTTGTTTGGCCTTGACTTCTGTGACAATTAAGATGCATTTGTGAAAATATCTCCGTTCAGAGGATGTACTCCTGTGGCATGAAAGCCATTTGCCGCAGTCTGTGCTGTTTTCAGCAGTTTCAATTAATCTTGAACAAAAACTTCAGCTAAACAGGATAGGACCAGTTGCTGGCAGAAAGCCACAATCAAATTTGCAATACAATAATAAACCTTCAACTTCCATAATGATAGGGAACTTATTGACTATCTGAGCAATTATTAGTTTCTCAACAAGAACAATGCTTAGTGTGTGTATAACAGTTACTGTACGTACAAATTTACCTTTTTATCTTTTCCTTTCTGTAAAATGCCTTCACTTTTTATAAATTGCGCAGTTTCAAAACATAATAATTTCATATCTGGACAGAAACTGTCCAACTGCATCAGTCTGAATCTCTACAATCTACAAGGCAAAACTGAATGTAAATTGCAAAGGATGATGACTATTATTACTGGAAACTGCAGATGTAATATGCTTTTTGTCAAGGGTTACTTATAAAGGAAATTAAGTAGTCAGGAGTAACTACAGTCTTAAGCTTAATGTTGAGTATGTGTACCGATATTTACCAAGACCCTGAAGCATTACCAATAAGACTCTAAACTGAAATTCCTGAGATTATAAGTCACCACCACATATCAATGCAGATCTACCTTCATTGTATAACATGAAAACAAATATCTATAAAACACCACAAAAATGTTGACAGTGGAACCAAGGTTCCAGGGAATCTGACGTAAATACGTCTCTGTAATGTGATGAAATGAAATGTAATAATTCTTATATAAGATAAGTTCCTGTGACATTCTAAAACGTTTTTACCAGCACAAAATTATCTAGTCTACGACGCACTTCTTCTACAAGCGATTCACAGCTCAGCTATTTCCGCAATAACGAAAGCGGATTGTTGACGACAGTAATGGAACACAACAATGCCGAGTAAACAGATGACGTAACAATCAGTTTCTTAGGTAACAACAATGCACACAGTTCATATAAAAGCTTACCATTGTTGTCGGTCCGTATTTACACATTGTTGTAATGGAAGAAGAAGATCATTGTTGAATTACTAAAAACCCATTCGATTGGTATATTGCAAACGCAACAGTAGTCTGTCCGTTGCTGTGGAAGTGTTTCTTGATCGATTTTCATGTGATAGAGAAATTCTAGAAGCAGAGAGAAGTACGATTGTAATAGTGAGTAAGAATCGAGCTGAAAAACATTATTTTCAAGATACAGAATGGCTTCTACGTCAAAACAGAGTAAGTAGTAAAGGCAACATGCAAAATTTGTATTGCGATTGAACATGCTTTGTATATATACCCAATCTAATCAGGGTGTTGTCTCGGGTCTTCAAATAAAGTAACATTATTTTAATAATGTGTTTAAAATACTGGTGCTTTATGCAATGCCCGTACATATGATATTTTATTACAGACGAAGAAGAAATTCCCAAATGTGTCACCCTAAAAGACTTCAAGATGGGAGGATCCATAAGAAAAGTTGGTAAGTACCTCTTCCTTTTAATAATTAGCTAATTATCTTCGCATTTCTCTGCTAATGAAACGTGGACCTGAATCTATGAACCATTATGAAAGAAATGCATGAACCACACTGATGCTTTTTACTATTGTCATGGATGCATTTATTTAAGGACATAGTCACTAACACAGTTCTTAAGCAGACTGACTCTGACTCCGGCTGCTTCATAAAAGCTCAATATGTATTAATATTGGTAAACCTACTAAAATGGTAAATGGTACCACAAGATATTTCATCACCACCACGTTAATCATCAGGCTAGTCTTTAGACTTATAACCTATATTTAAATATACGGGATCTGCAGTGGCCACGCGGTCTGAGGCGTGGGCATTGTGCCGCTTGGTCGCTGGGACCATGGGTTCGAATCCCACTCAAGCCATGGATGTTTGTCCGCGTTTTTCTGTGTTGTGCTGTCCAGTGTACAGGTAGAGGCCTTGAGACGGGCCGATCCCTCGTCCGAGGAGTCCTACTGAATGTCTACAGATCAAGCCAATGAAAAGTTGGGACCCACTTGCCACTCAGGCACTTGTAGAATGGGTCGTTCCCAGTATACCAGTATGTAAATATATGTCTAATGGTTATATTGCAGAAACCGGTTGATTTGTAGACAGTTTGTATTCTTAAGGTACTGGAGCCAAAGTTACAAAGAATTATTCCCACACTATGTGGATCTCCCTACGCGTTAGGCCACCGGCGGCTCACACGATATAGAAAGTGTTCTTAAGATTTTATGTCGATGTCAGAGTCAGTACCCTGGTGATAACAGTATACTAAAGTATCCAGTGATATCCATTGATGTCTATGAGTCAAAGATGTTATGTACAAAGTGTATTTTCTTGATTACTTTATCAGCCACTGAATTATTGTAGGTAAAAATGGTGTAGATGTCACTGTGCTGAACACAATTCTTTTGTGGTTGAATACTACCCATCGAAGCCCTGCAAAAAACCGATTTGTGGAGAAATTTCCAAACGACAGAGTTTAAACCAAGTTGTTTTATGGGAAGAGGGACATTTTGCAGCAAGGGTTTATGCTTATGAGAAATGTTTATGTTTTGAAACATAGTAGGGATAGCTATGGACTGGACGACCGGGGTTCGATCCCCGATGGTGGCAGAAGATCTTTCCTCTAACCTCTGCCTCCAGACCGTTTCTGGGGCCCACCCAGCCTCCTATGAAATGGGTACCAGGGTCCTTTCCCAGGGGTAAACAGTGGCTGGGGCATGATGCTGACCACTCACCCCCATCTAGTGCCAAGGTCAAGAAAGAATAGGACCTAATACCTCCTCTCCCCCACATGCGCCTACATGGCGTATAGTGGGAATGCTTTACTCATATATTTTACACAGAAAGTATGTGTACAGTTCACTCCTTTATGAAGCAAGAGTTTACAAATATAAGAGCCCTATCATCATCATCGGCTCTACAGCCCTGTGTGGGCCCTGGCCTTCTTCAAAAGCTTCTTGCAATCTGTTGTTGAACAGATACCAAGATGATACATAACTGTGTTTGTGTTGCAGGATATGCGGAAGTGTTCCTTGTCCGTAAGAGGGGTGGATGTGATGATCGCAAATATTATGCTATGAAACGAATTGATACGTCCGATAACGATTACAAGAAGATTGAACAGAGTGTTATGACGGAGATTCAAGTAGGACAAAAAGTGCTTGGTGCCACATTTTTCGTCGGACTTCATTACGTGTTCTGGTCGGAAAGTCACGTGAACTTGGTGATGGGTGAGTACACAATACGTACGTTTGTTGTAGCAATTCAACTCCATATGCAAGGAACTCCCTGGCTGGGGGAAGAGTCTGTTGCATGTTGTTAATCTATATCTGTCAGTTTGCAGTCCTCCGCAGAGCTTCACTTTGCAACAGCATTGTTGTGTAATTGAATGCATAACGCTAGTATTCAGTGTCCTGTAATATAATTAACAAAGTCATGTTATTGTTGCAGAATACATGGGAGGCTTGGATATGTTGTATCTCTTAACAAAGAGAAAGAATCTTTTAGAGAGACATGCTCGATTTTACCTTGCAGAAGTTCTTCTGGCCATCGAGGCGCTGCATGAGGTAAGCACTGTCAGAGTGAACCCCTTGGATACATGTATAATTATTTCTAAATGTTTCCTTTTGGACTTAGGGGTCCCTTGTGGGCCTTGGGTTTGAGACCAACCAGATGCTGTGAATGTATCCATGTGCGTTTTTCTCCTTCTTTCTCTCAACACTAATGGAATTGAGGCTTTGTGCCTCTTGGGAATACCAGGCTTTAGAACCCACTTTAAGCCGTACGTTCCCTCTGCCAACTACATCATCATCATCATCATCACAATGTGGACCTACATTGCCATTTCATAGTGTACAGATTTGAAATCTTGTCAATCTGTTTCGCTATTCCTATCTCTACTTTCTTTTGTAACTTGGCTAATTATTTACAGTATACAGCTATTATATTTAATAATGAATGTGAAAGGAATTCTCTTGAACTAACTGCATACTACGGATGCCATTGGCATTCAAAATGTTAGTACCACCAGTGAGTATTCGTCTGGGGATGGATGTTAGGGTGTCCATTGTCAAATAAAAATTAAAATCCGTGGCGTAACAGCACCAGAGAGCCAAAGCCGACTAGCTTGACTGCTGGCCTCACGTTCACATGCCTAAGCAGAGGTGAACGATCATCCAACCAGATCTAGGGTGACGTGTGGTCAGCACGACGAACCCCCAGCCATTGCTAGCTTTCCTGACCGGATTACGCTACTCATTGTAGCTCCCCAATTTCCTCACGATGCTGGGTTGGCACCGGTCCCATACACCGGTCGAAAGCTCACGAGAAACTTTCTTCTCTCCCCCGAGACTCGAACCAGCGCGCATTCCGTATCGCCGGTCCGAAGCACGACGCCTCAGACCACGCGGCTACGGCGCGGGACGTCCATTGTCAAAACAAAAACATATTGCAAGATTAAAATTATAGGGGAGAGTAGCTTCCATTTCCTCATCACACTGGAAATGGCAGCTAACAGGAAGTGAACTTAGATGATTGTGTTCCTTAAATACAATTTTTGATTCTTTCTTTTTGTTTTGTCATAGTTGCCTGCTTAATGGTTAAAATTCTAATTAATGTAATCAATAGCATTCATAGGACAGCTTATAGTCACATGAAGCAGAAAACAAATTAGTGGATGTGTATCTCTCTGCCACAGTAAGATGGAAAAACAAAAAACATGTCTCATCTTTCATGACCACAGTGCAAGGAATTTATTTTGTTTCTTTCAGATGGGAATCGTGCATCGTAATATAAATCCACATAACATCCTGCTTGATTCTGTCGGTCATATCGGCCTTGTAAACTTTGGATCATGTAAGCAATTCCAACCACATGAGGAGGTAAGTTGGTACTTTTACCTAGATGACTAGCTACGGGCTGGACGGCCGGGGTTCGATCCCCGACGAGGGCAGAGGATTTTTCCTCTAGCCTCTGAGTCCAGACCGGCTCTCT